AAAGTAGCTAACTACTAATTTCTCAGTAGCTAAATCCAACAGTCCAACCCAGTGGAATGGTTGGAAAACGGTAGAAATGAATCCTGATGCTTTTGAAATGTAATACCACACAAACATCAGGGAGAAGAAATAAAATGCCAGAAAAACGCAGGAGACGGGCTCTTTAATGAGTTATCTACCCGCCTCTGATGGTCATTTAATTGTCTCGGGATAAAAGAGAATAAGAGGATGTAACAAACCTAATAATCAGATCAAGAAAAGAGGCTTAAGTCTTTAGTTTAAGGGTCAATTAGTCTCTCCCCCTCTTTAATTAAACCTGCATCTGGTTGTGGCGGCACTGTCCCTGCCTGCGAGTGGTTTGGGTCACCGAGGGGGGCGTGTGGAAACGTGCTTGTGGGTGCTTTCAACAGGTCAGGGGTCAGCGCATAAAAAGCTGTTTAGGAGAAGAGCCATCGGGGGTGAATAAAGGAGCGGCACCCCGACGCATGGCACCCTCATTGTGTCCGGATGACCCACGCGTCTGTGCATATGGCAGCAAAGCCCAGAGTGAAAGCGTGTAAATCAAGAGACGTCCACCCAGCAGCGACTGGCCTATTGTTGTTGGACAGTTTACAGCCTTGTGATGAAAGGACGAAGCCTGCGTGAGGGAGCAGGCCATTAAACAGCTTTAATTAAGTAAACGGGCCTTCATAGAGGTGCTTGACTGGGCTGAACAGAACCGGCCTGAACACATTTAAAGGAACAGTTTCTCCCCTCTTAGCCCAAATGTAGTCAGTCAGCTGAGACACAGCTACAAGGGCAAAAGTACTAGATTGTACACACTTAAAAGGGTTTCTTTCAGGGTTTCAAGGGTTCTTTAGTAAATGCAATTCTATTTACAGCCATGACTTCTATATAGAACCATTTGCATTCTTAAATGGTTCTTTGCATGGTGCAGTGGTTCTTCAGATTGATGGAGAATGTGTTGTATATGATTCTGCACAGCACCAAAAAGGACTCTGCTGTTGTTACAATGTCAAGCTTGTAACAGAAGAACGCTTTTTGGTACTACATAGAACACTTTTCAAAAAAGGTGATACATAGAACCATCTACAACACATTCTCCATCAATTTAAAGAGCCATTTCACCATGCCAAGAACCATTTAATCATGCAAAGGGTTCTATGAGTGCTCATAGTTCCAGATACAATGTCAAGCTTGTAACATAATAACGCTTTTTGGTACTACATAGAACCCCTTTCAAAAAAGATGCTATAAAGAACCATCTACAACACATTCTCCATCAATTTGAAGAACAATTTCACATTGCAAAGAACCAGAACCATTTAATCATGCAAAGGGTTCTTTGAGAGCTCATTGTTCTATATATGATGCCAAGATTGTAACAGAAGAACTCTTCTTGGCATTATATAGAACCCCTTTCAAAAAGGTGCTAAAAAGAACCAGCCACAACACATTCTCCATCAATCTGAAGAACCATTTCACATTGCAAAGAAGCATTTAATCATGCAAAGGGTTCTTTGAGTGCTCATGGTTTCTAGATACGATGTTAAGCTTGTAACAGAAGAACCTTTTTTGGTACTACATAGAACGCTTCTAAAGGGCCTGTATTCTACATTTTTCTTGTATAGTTTTCTTGTATATTTTGTTCCACTTATAACATCTGTGCGGCTTTATGTACCAAAAGTGGTCATGATAAGTTTCTATGTACGATTTTCCACCCTCTTTTTCCCTTAGAACTACTCAGGCTGTTTTTCTTACAGTGTCTTTAAGATTTAGTTTGTTTCAGTGCATTTTACACCGATCAGCCATAACATTATGACCACCTCCTTGTTTCTACACTCATTGTCTATTTTATCAGCTCCACTTACTATATAGGTGCACTTTGTAGTTCTACAATTACAGACTGTAGTCCATCTGTTTCTCTGCATACTTTGTTAGCACCCTTTTACCCTGTTCTTCAGTGGTCAGGACCCCCATGGACCCTCACAGAGCAGGTACTATTTGGGTGGTGGATCATTCTCAGCACTGCAGTAACACTGATGTGGTGGTGGTGTGTTAGTGTGTGTTGCGCTGGTCTTAGTGGATCAGACACAGCAGTGCCGCTCATCAGTATTTCCGTTACTCCCTATCTGTTGGTTCAGACCAGTCAGCTTTCATAAGGCTTAATAGATGTGGCCTGCCCTCTAGTGGCTTGGTTCAGGCAGTGCAGTGTTGTGTATAAACTACAATTAAGCCCATACCAATCAAAATACTTTAAACAGTAAATACATAGAAAAAATGTGCACCATATTGAAGTGTGTTACAGAAATGTTTACACACATATATATACACACACACACACATGCATGCATGAGGATCATTGAATGTTGTCTGCCAACACTTTGTCTACAACTGCAGGGTAATGAAGTGTACTGGCAAAATTACAGCTGACCCCTCCCATCCTGGACATCATCACCTCTTCCAGCCACTTTCCTCTGATAAAAGATTCAGGGCCATCAAAACCAGCACAGCCAGGCATGATAACAGCTTTTTCCCCAGAGCTGTAGCTCATTAACCACAGTGGACACTCACACATTACACTTATCTTCCTTACTGTATTACAGCTCCTTCTGTAACATAATGCTTACTTGCACAGCTGAACAGAAGTTTGATTTCTGTAATATCATAATATTTTTTATAATAGTTATTACTGTATGTTTACTCAGACCTACATATGTACATTCACTCTTCTATTTAGCTCCTCATTCATTCACAGGTCTATCTATTACTCTATACACACACACACACACACACACACACACACACACACACAAAGGACTTTATGAATCTATGAAAACTCTTTTGTTCCCCATTTGCATGTGTTTCCCTGACTTTGCTGTTTTTGGCCAGCATGTTTATAATAATTAAAACGACTTATAAACAAAGTCCCTTGTCGGTAGGGCCTCTACTGAAAATGATCAGCGCGCCCCCTGCTGTTTGCATTCAGACTTAGGTGAACGCTGAACTGCAGGTGGTGCGCATTACAGACTGTGCCGTGTCGCCCCGCATTCGTATTAGACACCATTTCAATATTCTAAACGATTAACTGTGTCAAAAACAGAAATAACAGGCTTATTTTTAGGAGCGTTTCCCTAAGAGACTACAAACTCTGTAGCTCGGGTGACGTCACCTTCACAGAGCCTACCATGCGGCGCGGGCGCTGACGCATGGGTCTTGTAGTTCTACTGTAAAATTATCTTCACAGGCGGCTCAACTATTTTAGGATGACACTGTATTTGTATCTAATGTGCTTCTACCGTCGCACCATGACTGTTTTCCTAAATTCACAGCTTAAGGTGATTTTTAATCCCTAAGGCGAAAGGTTTGGCGATTCAGTGTTTTGGAACAACCAGCAGATGGCGTAGTTCTGCACTTCATCTGCTGCTACTCGCTGGATAGAGGACCGTCAAACTATTTTTCAAAACAAAAGTCCCATGCTAAAGGCAAAATGGTCATTGTAGTACACTCAGCTAATCTTTCTTCATTAATCATAAAGTTTTGGGTTCAATCAAACTAACCCTCTACTGCAATATGAGAGCAATTAAAAGTAAATAAATAAATATTCGATTCACTTTTCTTGCATAAAATGGACCTGATTGTGTGTTGTGTATGTTGCTCGAGAGGAAATGATATAGAGCCCTGTTCCCGGAGGTGGTGAGACCTGGCTTGTGGCTGGTGAAATCCATTCCACTGTCGCAGTGTTGCTTCTAGGTAACAAGCATATTTCTGTAAATTCTCATAACAAAAAAAAAAAAAAAGTGATACTGAATGCTGAAAAAGAGGTTTAAAAGTGCCCACTAAGAGATGCCTTTTATTGACTTACTCAAACTCCTCCCTTTATTGTTAACCTTATTATTGTCTTTATTGTGCAATAAAACATGAATTTCTGACAAGTAATGATTTTTAAACTTCAAAACACGACATGACGCATAAATGGACTGCAGGTTTTTTTATTCAATAACTTTCTTTTCCAAACATGTACACAGGGAGTTTTAATGTTACATTATATACTGTATATACATACACATTTGTGTATATAATATTATCTAAAAAGTCAAGGGCATGGGGAGTATGGCTGCTGTGCGTATTTAAGAGAGGAAGATGGGTTTCTGAACATCTGACATGATCTGTCACAAATCCACACGGGGTTGGGGGGGGGGGTTGGGTTCGGCTAAACGAACAAACAGACGTACAGTGGGGGAACACAGCAATCTCCAGTGCATTTCAGTCGAGCGAGCTGGGAGAGAAACACATGTGGGAGCTGTAAACCAACGGAACGGAGAACAACTGACAGTGAGCTTAACAATACTGTACTGTCCCCATACAAAAAAATACTAAAAGAGAGCTGAAGTAGTAGTAAGTGCTGGGAATAGAAGAGGCATGTAATCTGTCTCGTGTTTTTATCACACTTATATGACGGACAACAGTCTGATTACAAGACATTTATAGTGAAGTCTCCTGAGACAGCTTCTGGAACCCCTCCAAACCTGGCTCTACTATACAGAGAGGTGACGCACGCATGGAGGTGTCTGGTTATGAAACCAAGCAGCACAGAACGATTTTCACTGCTACAGTATCACAGAAAAACACTGTCGTCTCTCCCAGCGAAGCTTCAAATGCGGGGAAGGGGCTCGTTTGGGGGGTGGGGGGGGGTGGGGTCGTGGGGTCGGGGGGGGGGTGGGGGTGTGGGGTGTGGGAGCGATATGACAAATGCAAATTCAGGGGGATGACATTTCTAAATCGGTTCTTCAGGACCCATAAAATGTGTCAACCAACTCAGAGCCATTGTGATCGCCCATCCGACTCCTTTCTCTGAGTCACTTGACACGCAGGGCCCCAGGTCTTTGGTACAATCCAGCTCCTCGAGTCCTACAGCTGAACGATCAACCACTCGAATTTAATTAAAAACCTAGCAGCTCTACAGAGGTGAAAAAACAGAGAGGAAGAGACTTTTTATCTTTTTTTTAAACCCATTTCAAAGTGGATAACGAACAGGAAATTCCCACTTTGCTTTTCTTTTTTTTTGTTTTACCGTCGGAGCACAAACACGGCTTTTGATTCCAGGTCTCCCCCTGCTACTCTCAGTACCACGAGCGCTTGTGTGTGTGAGAGACAAACCGCTCGTGCAAAACAGGAATGAGGAGAGCGTGTGACGTTTCTGGAGGGATTGGTTTTGACTTGAGAGAGGAACAGCTGCTGAGAGATGGATGGACAGCTCGAGTGCCTCTACATCATTCCCAACTGCAACAGAGAGTTGGCGTACGCCATGGGCTTAACATTCGGATGAGGCTGCAGGGAGACAGAAAGAACATTCGATTATACATTTAATCACAATAATAAAAATGCCTATCAGCTCAAAGTGCTTTACAATGAAGAACACAAGCAGGCTATCGAATATATTCATTTTTAAATATTCTATTCTACTGAATATTATCTTGAATATTCAAATATAAGGCTGTGTTAACATCACTTTTAAATAATTTGTTGCTGTCCAATGAAAAACATGTATCTCCATTTTTTGCGAGTTTTACTTTTCTGAATCATTTGAGCTCAGCAGCTGTCCATTACATTGTGTGAAGATTTCAAGATGATTGGACCAACAGAAATGCTCCAAAATTGCTTTGAATAAAATCTCTTTACATTAACTTACATTGAAAGTAAAGAATGTTTTTGCCCTCTCCTGTAAAGTTACTATTTTGGAGATACTTGTTTTTCTTTGGACAGCGACAAATTATTTCATAGCAATTTGCACCAAAACGCTGATCTAGCCAATCTGACAACCCTGATCTGGCTCTGAACAGCAGTGATTGGTGGTGGAGAGCAGGAACAGCATCTTTTTAAACCATCTTTTTTGGCGAATTAGTCAGTGAACGTTTTTTTAAAGCTGCTCAAAACTGCCTTTTACTGCTGTCGAGTGCCTCAAATAAGCTCCACATTTTACAAGCGCAACAGCACGAACAGTCTCTCCACTTTTCCCTGTAATTTATGAAGAGGATTTACAGAAGGCCGGTATCTAAAATCACGTGTTGGAAGATAAAAACACAGACACAGGTGCCAGAGCATTTAGAGCTTTAATAACTAAAATAAAATAACTTTGAAATCTCTTTAGTGAGTAATTTCATTGAACTGAACTGGAGTCAAGTAAATATGAGATTTCTATAGATTTTATTCAGAAATAATGTTTTCATGATTTCATATAATTTAATGCTCATTAATGATATTCATTGCCATCAGGAACTAACACACTGTCAGTTATCAGATACATTTTAAATATATATTTCTGTATTTATTATGCACCCCTTTATGCCTATAATCACTTGTCACTTTATCTGTAGCCCTTCTGTTACTGCACAATTAATTATAAGTATTCATTCACAATTTACTCAATTTTATTCATAAATGTTTTATTTGGAGGCATCTGACCTAAACATCAAACAGAATTAGCCAAATTTGTCATTTAAATCAAGCATAACTGACTGTCTTCAGGGATAGTGGCAGGCCATTTAAATGATATTTACGGTGACTGAATGTTTGCTAATACTAATTAAAGTACTGACAGTACTGTTAGGTTTCCAGTTGGCACAGAGGTGTTTGGGTTTTAGAGAGTAACTAAAGTAAGTAATTAAGTACATGAGATAAATTAAAACCCAACACTGCTTCCTACTGACACATTACCACATTACCTAAAAAGTGCACCTGCATGGTAGGTGTACCTGATGAAATGACCAAAGTAATCATTTTGTGGTTGTACTGAATAAACTAGCATTTGAGACAATCAGTAAAATAATAGAGACTTTTTTTTTTTTACTTTCGGGTTTGCATTACCCCAAAGAAATGGTCATTAATTGCTATTTGTTACAGCCACTGTCAAAAAAGCTATTTAAGTGTGACCATACTGACCACAGCAGTGAACTGGTGGAATTCAGGCTTGAGGTCAGATCCCCTGAGGTGAATGTAGGCTCCTTTGTTACCCATCTGGTCACTATAGGCAGGAGACAGAGTGGACAGTCAGATTAAATCAAAGTACAATGAACACAATAAATGACAAGTGACTTGTACACAATCGGAGATCAGCTACTTCACAGTTTCAGAGGAAAAAGTAAGACCTGATTTTTCATTATTTCATAAAAACACATCCAGAAATTGTAAACAATGTGCATTTTGTTGCCATCAAATCGAAACCTTTCAAATCGTATTTTAGTTTTTATTCTTTCCTGAAGTTCACTTATAACATTTGTGTGATTTTATGTCCCATTCATAATTAATTTTTTACACAGACCATTTTCCAACTTCTCATTATCCCTCAGAATATGTAAATGAGATCTGTTCTGATTGGCTGCCTTCATTCAAAAAGCAATCTGGTCTGAAACACTCCTTATAACTTTAGCATGAATGGGCAGAGCTAAACCGCTTAAGCTGATCAGCTAGATATACAAGGTGATTCAAAAAGATTCATCTGATTTCAAATCATAATCCAACTGAAAGAGGGGATCATAGAGTTTCTGACAGTCACTGGAAGATGGTTCCCTTCAGTCTGCAAGGAGATGAGACCCCTGAGCAGAAAGCGTTCTGCGTTCTCCACTTCAATAAGAGTGAATCAGTCATAACTGTGCAGCGTGATTTTCATGGGCAGTGAAGCTCCAACAGCTCAGAGCGTTCGTCGTTGGTTCCACAACAAGAGCCGTGAGTGCAGCGACACCCGACATGCTCAATGGAGTATAGGATGAATTTGACTATGGCGTTGATGTTGTCCGTACAGCTGGAGGAGGTTCATACTGAGCACTTGTAAAATTACATAATAAACTTTATGCTCAATTAAACCATTTACAGTTTATTTCATTGTTCTGTAATGATTTACAAGTGAAATTAATCATTTTGAAATCGGATGAATCTTTTTGAATCACACTGTATATTTAAATTGTAAATGTGATGGTTTTCATGACATCGCAAAAACAAAAGGGGCTCTTTTTGTGGCTTAGTTTCCACATATGGACTGTATGGACTGGTTTTGAAACTCTAAAAAACTAAGAGTGAGGAAATTTTTGCTTTGACATGATACGGACCCTTTAAATAAAACTGCTCTGTTTTTTTCTATTTGTAAATAGCAGCACCCGTTTTTACATTATGTAAATATTTCATGATGCATGACAAACAAACCAACAGAAATGGTCCAAAATGGCTTGGAATAAAACCCTATTACATTAACATACACTAAAAGGTAAGATCTGTAAGAACTTTTCAAACCTATGAGGTTTAACGACAGAGACAAACTGCTTTTAGCACAAAGTGAATCACAAGGTACACTGCAAAGCTTTGCACACTAATCCAATTATGGAGCTCTAATGAGGACGCAGCATGATTCTTGAGGTCAGCAGTCGATGGGGTGGGGCTAACATACCAGTAATTTGGCGCTGAGAACACCGTGATGCACTTCCCTGAGTGAGTGACCTCGTAGCCCTCGGCCTTCACCTCATGACTGCGCACAATGTACTGCAGCTTGTTCTGTTCCAGGAAGCGCTGGGTGACATCGGGCCCAAACTGACAGCTCACGCCACGCTTACTGATGGATCGCCCGTTCTGAGAGAAAACAACAGTCAAATTAGAGGCTATTCTAAGACCTGCATTTCACAAATCTAAACTGGGACAGAATTACTGTTCAGTCTGTGAATCAGATGACAAGAACGACAACGAAGTGTGGGAAAAGGAGGCTAAAGTCCCATTTGCATGAACATAATTTACAATGAGAAGTCTCACAGCGGTTTGTGCATAGCAAAAGAGACCTCTCATTTAAAGTCCAAATTAAAGTGAGGACCAAGAAACATACAATACCGTGCAAATGTCTCTGGCAGACAATAAAATTGTTTATCTAGGGAGCAAGTGTGTTTTTGCCAGTAAAAATATGACAACACAATTAAAAATAAATGTAAATAAAGTAAAACAAGCTTTTTTGTTTTTATTTTTATTATTTTAAAGACTGTCTTTTGCACAGTACTCTAGTTTAAGCAGTTTATCAGGGATATCCAGGATCAGAATCAGCAAATTTTTGCTCCAAACACATTCAGCAATTGGCCAATTGGTTATTGTGATTATGGCCAGTATGGTTGCAGTTTAACGTGGTGAATAAGGTGAGGCAGTTAAGTGCTCTCACTGTAGCTGAATGTTTCTGTTACACTTACAGATAGTATTCACAAAATACAAAATACACTGGCTACACCTTCCAAATGAAGATATTAATAAAAAGACCGTTTGATCGGAGTTGTTGGTCCATACCAATTCAATAAGTTACCCGCTTATGCATTATTTCCTGTGGCAACATATCCAGACATCTATAATCTCTAAATACTGCATCAGCATCCACATCACAGGAGATAAAAGCAGACCAATTACTACAATAATAATTTTTTGGTCAATGTAAGGGTCAATATTCAGCGATATTCTGTCTTCACCAGGGGTCGCAACCCAAATGTTGAGAAAAGCCATTTTGTCCTTTCAACAAAAATTAAACCACTTTGGGAGCCACAACATTTTGAGTCAATTTTACTGAAGAAACATTTTACCATCTGTATGTGCTGATGTCCTAGTGTAGACTAAAAAATATAAGCGCAACGCAGACTTACTTTGCTCTGCTTTAAGCTTTAGCTCAGCTATAGCTGCTTTTCTCATATCTCCGGCAGGAAAGTTTTCAGTGAAAGTAGAACAGTTTCGTGTAAAATATCTCTCAACGTTCGACTCTTCCTGAGGCTGAAGTCGCTTTTCATTCGCCAGCTTCTTGTTTGAATTGTCCTGTTCCACCTTAAATGGTGCCTGAGGCATCAGAATGTAACTGCTGCACCCTTTAAGATGGAACGGGACAATTTGAACAAGAAGCTGGTGAATGAGAAACTGACTTCAGCTTCACGACTTTTTAGTGTTTGACAGTTTCTCGTGGCAGATTAAACATATCAGGAAACCAGCTGGAGTGATTATAAACACAAATAAGTCCATCTTATATCTCTCTCTTTGCCTTTCGTTAGTTACTAGCTAGGTGAGATAGTTGTCTGCATTGCTACCTTTAGGGTCAAAGGGTGAATTAGCAGTTCTACATTAACTCTAGTGCTTAAGGCCATTTATTGTTAAACTGTGTTGAACGATCAGCAGAGCTTTATTTTACTGTAAAGGAGGATTATTTTACTTTTACCTACAAATCTAATTCTACTGCGGAGCCACAACAGGGCAGTAAAAGAGCCGCATGTTGCCAACCCCTGAGCTATACCCTCAAACACCATTGTTATCATAAAAATGAGTAACAGCTGTGTGCCTGTGTTTGATGGGGTTAATCAGTTTTTAAGTTAGTTTTATATTAGTTTATGTGTATAATTTCTAGTGTCAATGTCATTCTTGGTCTAGCTAAAGCAGAAGAGATCTAGACACAAATAGACTGCATAAGTCAATCAGCCAATGTCAGTTGCTACATGTGAACATTTCTCAACACTTAAAATTGATCAAAACTACAAAACTCCTCCTGAATGTCTAGCTGTGTGACAGACTGACGAGAGAGGAATTTGGTAGCATTACAGGGAAATGCTGTAAGTTTTTCCTGTTTATTCTCCTTATTCTGATGACTTCTCCTTGGCTGGTTCGGGATGCTATAAAAACTTGCAGCATTTTGTTTTGTAACTACAGCCATGAACCACACAGCAGACTGGGGCTATGTTTTATCTGTCTTTATTAACTTTATGGCTGAACCAACGATGTACAAGCGGCAGCTGCCGTCAGAACTACAATGACCGGTGGACTGTCAACAACATGACAGTGGTGAGAAATGAGACATCAGTCAAATACTCTCTATACTATTGGATATTATGCAAATTTAATAGCATAATTTATGCATGAGTCATTGTGCTAAAAGTCATGTCTTACTTTTCATGATTTATATTCTCTAAATTTGCAACTGATGATTCATTTCGGGATTTAGAAAGCCCATGTGGCCCATAAAACAGCAAATAATGTTATTTCTATTGTGACTAAAAACTGATCAGCGCACCTGCACAACATACATAAATTCACACAATATGTTCATATTATGTTTATAGTATGACTGGTAAGCAGTGAGACTGACCTGAGGTTGAGGATCTGACCACAAGAGATCGCACATAGGACCTGGATGATTAAGAAAAGATAAGAAGAGAAGACAATGTGGTGGAATGAGCTCACATTTAGTCACCAGTATTTCTTAAGTCAGCAGGTTACAGGTATCTTACTCACCGGAGAAAACCCTGAATAAAACAGATTTCTTATTCCACAGTGAGTTCATGACCTTTTTTTTCTTTAATTAAAGCAGGATGATTTCCTACCCGAGTCTGGAGGCTGTCTGTTTCTGTCGATCTTTCTAAGGTCATCTAAGGTCACGCCGTCCTCACTGAACAGTCCTCCGTGCATCACCTGAAACGTCCACATAGCACAGGTTCTTACTACACACAATTCAACCTTATCAGACAAACTTAACTAAGAGACATTAAGAGCAAATCTACACTAAAATCTGTGTTTCTTCTGAAATGAAGGCCACTAATCAGGGATTTGCTGCAGTATCAGCCTCTACTCCTCTGGGAAGGCTTTACACTAGATGTTGGAACATTGCTGTGAGGATTTGATTGAGCATTAGTGAGGTCAGGTACTGATGTTGGATGGTCAGTTCTGGATCACTCCAACTCATCCCAAAGGTACTGGATGGAGCTCCATCACTCCAGAGAACACAGTTCCACGGATCCACAGCCCAATGGGGGGGGGGCTTTATACCCCTCTAGCTCAAGCTTGGCATTGTGGCATGGAGATCAGGGCTTTTCTATGGAGATTATACAAGCTGTAACAAAAATGGGAGACCTTAAAAGAGCTGAATCATTAGGGCCTGAAGGATACTTAGGGGACATAAAGTATGTATATAACAATTCTTTTTTTTTTTTTATCTGAGGGAAAAGATAACTAGCCCTTTCAGGCTAAGTGAGATAAGAAAGGTACTGAACATAATGCTCACTTTTATATTACTTGTGATTTACAGATGAAACTAATGTTATATTGAGAACCTCCAACAGCTCAGAGTGTTCGTCGTTGGTCCCACAACACTGGATGATCTCCGAAATCGCAGTGAAAGAGCCGTGAGTGCAGTGACACCCGACATGCTCAATGGAGTATGGGAAGAATTTGACTATGGCGTTGATGTTGTACATACATGTACAGCTGGAGGAGGTTCATATTGAGCACTTGCACAATTACATAATAAACTTTATGCTCAATTAAACAATTTACTGCATTGTTCTGTGATGATTTACAGGTGAAATTTCTGAATCACACTGTATTTTGTTAATACAGGCAAAAATACTTATGGCTGAGATAAAGAGTTTTAAACAGTTTCCATGATAAATTCTTTGCACAGTACCATGTATCTATATAAAAGGTGTCCAAACACTTATACCTTTTAGACACATTGCAAGAAAGATGATTACTTTGGGAGTCATGAAAAGATCACACCTCCAGATTGCAAAACATGCCTACAATCAGTCTGAATGCTTGACAGGAAACTACAGCTCACCAGCACTTTGCTGTTGATGCACTGAGCGAGTGGAAGCCACTGGAAGACCTCACTGAACAGCTGGAACATCTGCGCCGTGTACTTGGCCTTGACCTCACCCTCAAAGCCGTACATTTGATTCATGTTGTCTGTCTCGTGGTTACCTAGGGAGTAACGGGAGGTCATTATCTGCTCTTTAAACTTGCTAGCTTGGGTTGTAATGACACATTTTTGACTCGGATAAACACATTTATATATATTTATTACACTTTCCCTTCAGTTGTGGGCTCACAGCTTTATGTTGATTTCTAGCCCTTAGATTTGTTTTCATATTAAAAAGCTAGCACTCACCATAAAAATAAAATCAATGCTATTTTATGATAAAAGCAGTTTGTTTAAAACCATGATTAAAAAAAAAAATCTAAAAAGTTTCAGGAATTTACAAGAGATGATAAAGGAAAAAAAAAAAGATTAATAGTCAAAAATAATCGCTAGATTACTGGTACAATCAATAGTGACAGTATAAATTTTCTGTTTAAAAAGTCTTGATTCTAAAGTGCTCTGACTGTATACTATAGAAATTGGTTTGTATGAGAAAATTTGTAAGTCTACAAACACAAATTATAGAATTTATAAGCAACTTCAGGAAAAAAAGCCCAGTCCTTTGATTGTGAGTGGGACTATAGCACAAGCCATGCCTCCTTTACTCTGACAGGCTGCGCCCAGGTGCCTGGGTTTCATCAAAGCACAGTTTTACATTTCCATCCACTGTTTCCAGTATTTATTTTTATGATTTGTCAGTACTGTACTGAAATCGCTACACTCTTAGTGAGCATGTGTTTGGTAGGTACTGAAGGCAGGACTCACCCCGCAGTAGGTGGAAGTGATCTGGGTAAAGCAGCTTGAAACCAAAGAGTGTGAGAATAACTTCCACTGAGAAGGAGCCACGGTCCACAAAGTCACCGTTGAACAGCTGCAAACTGAGGTCAAGGCTGATATACAACTCGAGGAGATAACAGCTCAGTCAGAGAGAGCGAGAATGAAGGGACAAAAGCTCTGATAGATCAGGTAGATCTGACAGTGGGAGTGTAAATCATTAACTTCATCTCAATTGTTTGAATCAGTGTGTGTGTGTGTGTGTGTGTGTGTGTATATATATATGCCCTACCACTGAAGAACAGGGTAAAAGGGGGCCAACAAAGTATGCAGAGAAACAGATGGACTACAGTCTGTAACTGTAGAACTACAAAGTGCACCTATATAGTAAGTGGAGCTGATAAAATGGACAATGAGCGTAGAAGCAAGGAGGTGGTCAATATGTCATGTCTGACCCTGCGATGGACTGGCGACCTGTCCAGGGTGTGTCCTGCCTTCCGCCCAGTGGCAGCTGGGGTGGGCTCCAGCGCCCCACCGCGACCCAGAAGGATAGGCGGTTTAGATGATGGATGGATGGATGATTGGTATAGATCTGCTTTGAAATCCCAGTAAGAAGCTTTTTCAACTAGCAGATGACTCTCAGCCACAAACAGTGATGCTTTAAATGTGTGTCCATTACAATTCTGCAATAAACACACCCTGCTGCCCTGGGTTCGTCCACAGCTCTGTTGTAAAATTAATACCTTACCATGATTGGCCGCAAGTATCTCTAAAGTTCTCAAACCACATGTGAAAAGGATACATAAGGATTCGTCGGAGATGGTAAACCATTCAACTCAAAGATGTTTAGAAGGTCGTAGTACTGGCCATGCGTGTCCCCACAAATGGTTATTTTCTCTGTCTAGAAAGAGAGTGTAAAAGAAGGAGAGAGAAAAGAAGAGGGTTTCTACATCAAGAGGAAATTGTAAGTCTGGGAAAAAGAAACAGGAAAACAATTCAAATTTCATCATCGTGCACAAAAAGTCTCTGTTTATTAAACATCAGTCTAGTTCTTTTTTTTTTACCTCTTTTAACGTAATTTCAACAAGACTTGGCAGTTTGGATAAAACTTCTTTTACTTGAACCAGCATCTGAAAAGAAGATTTAAAAAAGAAATTAGATAAATACTGATGTAGCCAACATATCAGAAGCTTAAACCCCAACGATCAGCACTTTGCAAGCTGCAATAGGAGGGTTCACACTAGTGCTGGGTGATATGATCTCAAATCAATATCACGATTAACTGAATATTTTACGCCGATTACGATTAATGAACGTTTTGTTTTTTTTTTTTTTTGCCCTCATAGTTCACTGACAAGGTTTGTATTGTAAATATTCTCTGCATATCTTAATGTAAATCCTCTCAACAGCCAGATCGGAATTCACGCTGCTTTTACGTCAATCCAACTCGACATTCATCATAATTTTGCACTCCTGAGACTCAAACATTTAGGATGACATTTCTGTACAATAATTAGAAGAGACTCATCCAAAACCCTCCGTGTTTGAAGAGATTTTGAAAGAAATTTCCGAACGCGGCCGTAGGAGAACGAGGCTGCAGCATGAAAGAACAATTCAAGTCTGAAAGCAAAGTTTAAAGAATCCGAGGACGCGAACGAAAGAAGTGACCGCCCCCTTTTTACGGCAAACTCTAACACATTCTGGGTGATGAGCCCAGCTGTCAGTCAGTGAAGCTTCATGATGGCTCCTGTGATGCTGGTGAAGATGAAGCTGATCCTCCGGGAGCAACTGGCGTTCAGTGGCAGTCCTGATTGTTTATCTCTGGATGAGCCGAGAAGCAGTGTGACGCTCTGTTCTTTTGCCCATGCGGGTCAGTTTAGGAGCTGATCTTGATAATGTGAACAGCCAAACAAAAAAAATCGGATTTGGTGAGAAAATCAGATTTGGGCCACTTTTACCTGCCTAGCATTAGCTTCCATGTCGTAGAGTGGACGTGGCGGAGTACATGCGTGGTAGTAAGTTTTTAAGGGGACAGTACATGAACACACAGAGTGGGAAAAGGATTAACAGAAGTAAAAAAAAAAAAAAACTAAATAACCAAAATGGGCAAGATTACGTCAGTTCGAAGTTCTGAACGTCTGTTTCGATTTTTTTTCGATTAACTGCCCAGCCCTAGTTCACACTGCACATACTGTTTGAAGACTGTCGTGCCGCCAACTGTTTTCAATGGCAGAGGTGCATTTTGCTCACTGTATTTGCACAGTTGTATGAACCGAGCCCTGCACCCCAGCACCCTGAGCTGAGTTTAACTTGAAGATGTCAAGTAGTCAACATCATGACCGTTTTTAGGGGTCCAAGCACCTTTAGGTGCATGGAACCCTATTGCTTTTGCTAGGATTTTTCTTTTTCTTTTTCTTATTATTATTCTTTTTCTGCCTTAAAACGGTTTGTGGAGAAGACACCGTAAGTCATCCAAAGACCAAACTTAGAGGCTAGGTGTCAATATTTAGCACAGCTAACTGCGAAAACTCCAACAGTCTGTTTTAACCTTCCATTTCTACTATTAGTTATTCTATGGAGAAAACTGAATTTAGGCAATTGGGACAGGAAACGCAAGTGTACTATGGCTGGCATTAATGCTGTTGGTTTCACTTGTGAGAGTGATAAAAAAAAATCCCAGACACTGGACTTTCCCCTTATGCCCTTTCCTTACCTGCAAGTGCTCCAAATTATGACACGACAAGATAAGATTTGTAAAGTATCACAATGATGGTGAAGGAGAGTTAAACGTGTGGCAGGAGGAATAACTTAATGCTGCTCACACGCCAGCTAAAGTGTTGAGAAATGGAAGCTGAAACTGGGTTTCAATTCGATTTAGTTTTATTTAACATTTTTAAAATAATGGTCGCTGTCTAGCTAACTAACTAACACTGCTTAGAATGTGCGTTTATGTTTCCGCTATGTACATATTGTGGGTTGCTTGGTAACCAACATAATTATTAACCCTGAGTAGGTTAGATTTTTTAACTTGATATAAGATGCAGCAAGTTTAGATGTGGGTCATTCTACAGAACGTCCACTTTTCTCTCTGTCCATAGGAGCCACTGGTGTTACCGATCCTCATTGGTGTTACACATGATAAAGGTAACACCAGAGACATTTTTAATGAACAGTGCATTTTACAAAACAGCTGCTACAGAGCATCAAACCACATGATGTCAATCGTGGAATATCCACTAAAATATGTAATTTAATCCATTTGTATTTTATTTTTTCACAATTACCTAAGAATAAAGTAGGTCACACCAATGACTTCAGCTAAAAGCTTCATATGAAATCATGAGCTAAATGAGAAAATCTCTGAAAGACACAGTGGACTCACCATGTGCTTTTCTTCGTAGATCCTCAGAAAACAGGTAAAAGGAAGTCAAGTGATGTCATTAGTGTGACTTTTATTTCAAAATAAGAGATTTTTGTTAGGCAGTAACACCAGTGACACGACTCCTGGGGATCTTTTATTATATATAATATTTATTTGGCCTTTGTTTTCTTTATGTCATTTAATTTATATATTCAAAGTCATGTATAGATTATTGTAGTTAAAACTGCAGAAAAATGTGTTTTTTCCCCTCAAAATATGGCCTCACCCTTCACACATGACTGTGGGGACGAGCTCCTCTGTGGTGCTTGGAGTTCTAGATAATTGATTTAAAAACCAATATGGCTCAAGAGGTTATAATTGTTAAAATAACAATGTTTTATTTTAAAATATAAATAAATCGTAACCCTAACATGTTTAAGTGTAATATATCTGTAAACGCTACGAACACAAAAATGGACGTTTCTGTAGAATGACCCATTTACTTCATAAATTAAGATATGCTTCTGTAATACGAAATTGCAATAAATAAAAGGACTAAAGATAAGAAGTGTCTGTCAAATGGCTCCAGGTACTAAATGTGGAAGTGCCAGAGCTTTCTGCCTGTACAATAGCCAGTGAGCAAAGCTGACTGACAGTTGTAAGAAATGGTTTCTTACATTGTTGATATTGTTTCGTAGTGACAGGGATGCAGCACGCGCTGCATGAATCCTCCCCAAATCATCACAGGGGAAGATTCCCCAGACATGTGAGGAAATAAGTTGTGTAAAATTGATTTTTGGTCAAACGAAAGCTTCAGCAGTCTGAAAGGAGACTGGTAAACAGCTGAATCTCACCTGGTAAGCACACTTCCGATGCAGCTTCTTCTGGTCCTTGAACCAGTCCATCAGCTCCTTCACGAACTTCAAAGTTACTTTACCATCTTCAAGTTTAGGGCCTGCATACTCATCCTCAATGGCTACCAGGAGGAGGGAGATGTGTCATTCATTCATCATTCACTCATTATTAATTAATTCATTTATTCTTCTCATGAAGAAAGTTTAAATCAGGGCCTGACCCGATATGAAAAATTTTGTGGTCAACACTGATTTTAAAGGGCTCGGAGATTTCTATTCTGTATTTTACAATCCAATAGTTTTAGTTAAACAAAGCTTTAGTGGCTGACATGCTTGTCGATTCTCAATTGCCACACTTCTTAAAGAGTAACTACACCGTAAGACCTTTATTTTTCATTGACAGCTCAGATCAGAAACACCTTCCCCTGTCGAAGACAGGGATGGCAGTAGAGAAAGATCAACCTCGTAAGACCTTGAAGTTGAAAATATGCCGTTTGATTCTGTCACTCTCCATATCTTCTGGTAGCTAACAAACTATAAAAACACAGCAGCCCAGCCCACCCGGTTTCCCTCACAGCCTCACCTCACAGCCCCACCTCCAAACCTGAACATTACTGCAGTGCCCCTCCCTACATATCCTTTCCATTTTTGAGCATATTTCAAAGTTGAGCCAGGGGTGGAGTTTGCTGAAAGTAGGGGGTGTAGTTACTCTTTAAAATAAAAGAGAGCACAAACTCAGTTTTAAATCATAAAAACTGCAGCACTGGGGTGGAGCTACTCAATTATTTTTGCAGTTTTGTTTCCTGTTAATTATCACTTGTTTTTCTTACTTTTATCAGTTCTCTCCATATATATAAGGGTTTTTGTGCTTATTGCCATGCTAAAAGTGTAGGGCTGGATTGGAGATATTTTTGCCAAAATTCACAGGATGACAATATCAGCCGATATTATCAGCCAACTGATGTATCAGTCGGACTCTAGTTTAAACCAGCTTTTCTAACCAAAAAACACTCCTCACTACGGAAAAATTTAATGGGAACAGAAGATGACCTCTCCTTACAAAAGGCGTCCATTTCTGTCACACAGCTGCAAACCCCATGTTGCAGCTGTGTGACAAAAACATTAGATCGTCCACTCACTCATGTTCTCGATGTCTAAGGAGTCCACCACTGATCTTTTGAGCTCGTCACTGGCGATGGCTCTCTCGAAGGCTTTCTGCTTCACAATCTTGTTGCACTCCTGATACTTCATCTTCGCATCCTTGTCATTGGGACGAACCCTCACTACCTGTTGAGGGCAAAAATCAAGCCAATTCTATCAGCTAAACTAAACAGCAGTTTAAATGTTAAAGCATAATACAATAGTTTATAATTACAAGTCTTACAATTTGATTGACTTATAAGTGTAGGTCACCTTCAAAAATAATGCATGCATGGCACATCAGCTTTGCTCTTTATGCACCATACATGACTGCAAAACACTAATACAGAAATAGCTTAAGATAATCAAAGACAACTATATGTAATTTTGCTTGTGTCTGCTACCTCTGAACATTCTTTACAAACTTAGGCTACATTTACACAGCAGGTAAAAGTGGCCCAAAACCGATCTTTTTCTCCATATGTGACACAGATGTGCTGTGTGTCAGTGTGAACAGATAAACACACTGAATCTGACATTTTCAATTCCGACTGAGACGCTTTCATATGTGGTACTGAAATCCAATACGTATCCGATCTGCGGCAATGTGACTCGGTCTGAACAGCCAGATCGGAATTCAGGGGACTTTTGCGTCAGTCCAACTCGACATTCATCATAATTTCGTGTTGCTGAGACTCAAACATTTAGGCTGATGCTTCTGTACCAAAAAATTAGAAGAGACTTATCGCAACCGCTCTGTGTTCGAAGAGATTTCAAACAAAACAACTGAACGCGGCCGGAGGAGACCGAGGCTGCAGCGTCAGAGAACAGTTTAAAGAATCCGATGACACGAACCAAAGAAGTCGCCGAGGCAGATTAACATGCTCTTTTTACAGTGAACTCGAACACAACGTGGGTGATGAGGCCAGCTGTTAACTATTGGAACTTTATAATCGCTAATGTGATGCTGGCGAAGACTGGCGTTCGCTGGCTGTCATGATTGTTTACCTCTGGATGAGCCGCGTGAAGCAACGTGACGCTCTGTTCTTTTGCCCATGCGGGTCAGTTTAGGAGCTGATCTGTTCAGACTGATGTTGCATACAGGTCACATTTAAAAGATAACGTGAACAGCCAAACAAAAAAATCGGATTTGGTGAGAAAATCAGGTTTGGGCCACTTTTACCTTCTGTGTGAACTTAGGCAAAGTGCAACCTTAACGTTTATGGTAGAAAAGAAATTAACTTCAGTCAACTTCTTTACCGTCTCGTAATCTTTGAGGGCAGCTTTGAACTTGCCCAGGGCCATGTTTGAGGTGGCCCGCCGGTAGTAGCCCTTGATGTAGTTCTTGTCGATCTCCAGGGCACGGGTGGCGTCTGCCAAGGCGTAGCCATAGCACTCTGTGCGCAGGTACGCCAGGCTCCGGTTACTGTAGTAGATGGCATTGGATGAATTTAGGTCCAGCGCCTCCGTGTAATACTTGATTGCGTTTTCATAGTCTTTTTCTGAAACGAAACATCAACACAGTAAACAAGACTGCGCAAAATCCCAACAGACCCATGTCTTTAAAAGGGAATTCCATCCCATTTTCAATTTTTTTGCACTGCTAAATGGTAAGTCAAACAAAGTCATTCAGGCTCTTTTCACACTGCAGGGCAAATCAATTTGTTTCTTATATCTGACTGTTCTGGACTGACTGTCCAGATTTCAAGTGACAAGTGACCAAATCTGCTTTGGATGTAGGGGTGGGCGATTTGGCAAAAATATTTCACGATACTTCACGATGTTTTCACGACACATGATATTCATCACAATATTTAGTTTTTCTGAGATTTAGTAAGTTGGAACAATCAAAACAGAGCCTGTAGTGCCACATTTAAAAAAAAATAATAATAATAACCTCTAAAAGCTCCCTCACAGAGAATTATTACATAAAATGGTACATATAACGTGATTATTTCAACGGTTTGTTTTTACAGCAGGTAAAAGCCACTGGAATCTTTACTGATCCAAGTTATAACTAGCTACTGCACTCCTCACTAATTATAGTAACAGTGGGCTTAAATAAACACTGAAAAAATGCTAACACTGGTTATTAATAGGAGAAAATGTGTTAACCTTTTCAACTCTTTGGGACCACCAGTGGTTCCAAAACGCACTTCGTCATATTCTTCATAACTTTAATATTTCATAAGCTACATTCAAAAGGTGGATGTCATATGAGAGCTGTAACCGTCTTTCCAGTCAAATAGTTGAGTGATGTAATTTTAAACCCTTATAATAAAAGAAGCTGAACAATTTTTTTTTCTACTGAAAGTCGACCCATTTTTCCACAAATCTGAGCTATAAACTATAAACAGATGGCGTCTCTTCAGTGATCTGCTCTGTAAAAATGATTCTTATAAAATGATATAAACAGTGTAAGATTTTTGGCTTTCAGCAGTAAATTGTAAACATATAGCAATATGTGTATGATCATAAAACATGTTCTGTTAATTTAAGGGGAACCTTTACAAAAAATAAAATAAAATAAAAATGTACATTTATTTCATGCAGTTACTGAATAATTTGCCTTACGATTTGGGCACGTAAATTCAGATGGAAAAAACTAAATATACCCTGGAGAATGTGACAGATGTCCTTGATGTTGACAAATGCATTACTATGTACATAATGCATCGAAAATTATTATTCTGAGAGCGATCTATTCTTTATTTTCTACTTTGTTATTTTTACCTGACACTTTGAAAGTCTGACTGAATAGACCCATCGCCCAACTCGCGAAATGATTCTGCTGTTAATGCAATGAACATTCAGCACGGACAAAGGACCACACAACTACGAGCAGCGGGACATTTCTGATTCTCTCCACACATTCGATGCTCCTCGTCAGCAAATCTGTTGTAAACAGCAGCTGCAGCAGGACCACACAGGTGAGGCGAAAACAAACTGCTGCTTTATCAAATTCCTCTTATGACTAGTCACTTGTTGCACATAGGCATTAAAGAAATGCTGCTGCTGAGGTTCTGTAGCATACAATCCACTGCCACGCACAATAATTTCAATGTGTTTCCCTGCAGAAAAACAGATTCAAACCACACTTATAGCAGAAGCCAGAGGGTAAGTGCTGAATCAGCAAATTCTATTGTAAGGCCATAATTTGCCTTCAGAACAGATCCTACATTTTCTTTAATGCAGGCGGAGACCAGCTGTGGTCCTGAAGGATCAGAGAACAGCTCAAACAGCTCAAACTTGACTCAACTCATCAGTTAATTTGATTACATCAATGACAGACATACTAAATATGCATATTCATGGTCCATTTGGAGGTGGGCAACATGGCAAAAGCATAGTATCGCAAAATTTCTTGAAGTATTCACGGTAAACGACATACAATATATGGACAAAAGTATTGGGACACCTACAGGTGCTTTTATGAATCCCATTCTAAATCTATAGGCATTAATATGGAGTTGGTCCCCCTTTGCAGCTCTAACAGCTTCCACTCTTCTGGGAAGCTTCCTACAAGATTTTGGAGTGTCTGTGGGAATTTCTGCCCATTCATCCAGAAGAGCATCTGTGAGGTCAGACACCGATGTTGGACGAGAGGGTCTGGCTCACAATCTCCATTCTAGTTCATCCCAAAGGTGTTGGACGGGGTTGAGGTCAGGGCTCTGTGAGGGCCAGTTCTTCCACACTAAACTCACCCAGCCATGACTTTATGGAGCTGCTTTGTGCACTGGGGCTCAGTCATGCTGGAACAGAAAAGGTTCTTCCCCAAACTGTTCCCACAAAGTTGGAAGTGTACAGTTGTCTAAAGTGTGTTGGTCCGCTGAAGTGTTCTAGACAAACCCCTGAAAAACACCCTCATAGCATCATCCCTCCTCCACCAAACTTTACAGCTGACACAGTGCAGTCAGGCAGTCACCTGGCACTCGCCAAACCCAGACTCATCCATCAGACTGACAGATAAACCGTGATTCGTCACTCCTCAGAATACGTTAGCACTGCTCCAAAGTCCAGTGGTGGCACTTTACTCCACTCCATCTGAAGCTTGGTGATGTAAAGTTTGTATGCAGCTGCTCCGCCATGAAGCTCCAATTTCTGTGCTGATGTTGATGCCAGAGGAGGTTTGAACTCTGCAATCATTGATCAGCAGTGTGTTGGTGACTTTATTTTTGATGCTCTATGCTCGTCAGCACTCAGCGACCTGCTCCGTAACTTTACATCATCTGACAGTTTGTGGCTGAGCTGTTGTGGTTCCTAAACACTTCCACTTTTCAGTAATATCACTCACAGTTGATCGTGGAAAATCTAGGAGGGAAGAAATTTCGCAAAACTGACCTGTTGCAACAGTGGCGTCCTATTAAAGCACCACGCTCGAATTCAGTGAGCTCTTTAGAACGACCCCTTGTTTCACTAATGTGTGTAAAGACAGACTGCAGGGCTATGGGCTTGATTTTATACACCTGTGGCAATGAGACTGAATGAAACACTTGAATTCATTGATTAAGAGGTGTCCCCCCAATACTTCTGTCCATATGGACTACCAAAAACTGTCATTTACTTGATGTCACTTCATCACGTAAGTGTGAAAAAACTTTAAGGCTACACACTTGGCATAACAGGACAGAAACAAAACTCAAGGATACAAATTATTATATTATTCTTAAAGGGGACCTATTATGCTTTTGATCTTTTTGACCACATTAGTCACAACAGCCTATCACATGGTTGAAAGACCTTTTACTATCCACCAACCTTCAAATTAGAAATGGACTAGAACTTGGTAGCCAGAACGGTACTGACATGGCTTAGAAGGTAGGGTAATATTTGCTAACTTATGCATGCAAATGCTAACTTTAAGATTATTGATAACTTTAATGTTAATGTATTTGTGAATTTGGGGGTTTTGTTAAAAATTTTAAAGTTTCAATCATTATGTTTACCATTGTAGTCTTATTTATTTAAGAATGGTGTGCTTGATTATACTTGAATAACACTTTAAAATACAAAGATTTGTTTGGGAAAGTAGAAATTTGGTTTGGGGCAGTGGACTTTAAGGTTGCTTGCCCAATTAGGAGGTTTGGGGAAAAAGTTAATGTCGAAATTATTTGTTCAGATTAATCAATGCATTTATAAAATAATCTCCAGGTGGGTAGATTATTAAGGACTCATTAGCAGCAGCCTGAGTTACAGTGGCAGAGCAGAGAAATCAGCAATCAGTTCTGGCCTCCAGTCAGGCTCCCCTGCAATCAGAAAATGTTCTAGTGGTTCTTTCAAACCAGACAGAAAACAGAAAAAAAGAAAAAAAGTTTGGGAACATGTTTTGTGGTTTTAAGGCCTCATTTGGATCTTTTCAAATATAATCTCCAGATTAAGAAAAGAAACAAAACGACTACTTATCTGACCATGCTACTTTTTCCTACTCCTCTAAAATGCACATTTGGTGCTCATGTTTCTCTTGGGACTGTTTCAAGAGGGTGTAAATTAAATTCTCTGGTGACAGTGAGGCCATTTTTAGTATGTTCAGAGTCTGTTAAAGTGTCTGTCTAACCCTGACAGTCTACTTCAACTTGCTGAAGTTCTCCTTTTTGGCAGTTTTTCCCTCACTCGCAACACTTTCAAACTTTCAAACACCATTTTTTGTTTACATATAAAACTGTTACACCACACCACATACTGGTAGTTTGCATTTGCTATTTATATTGAACAGCTTTAGGCTATAATGTTTTTCAGGTTGGTCCAAAATTAAAGCCCCTTTCATTTTCCAGTGTTTTTCCACCATATAAAAAAGCTAAAAAGGTCTGTGTCCTGGACTACATGAGAAAGCTTGAGCAACGACTGAGCCAAAGGCACTTATGAGTCACTCCACAAGCTCAGTGCCAAATGGACATGCTAATTTGAAAATGTTTTCATGTCAAGTAACCATTTTTTGTCCTATAGTTTTAATTACATACTGCTCTGACCAAAATAATAGATTTACCAAACACAAAAACTATTTGTTTTTGCACCAACTAAGACTGAGAAGTACAGCCCTGTGCAGAACTGCACCACCTGTTCGATATAGGGTGATTCAAAAAGATTATATCCGATTTCAAAGTGCCATATTTTTACAACCGTGAGGCGTCGAGGAACCAATCACAATCTAATTGAAAGAGGGGGTCATAGAGTTTCTGACTGTCAGTGGAAGATGGCTCCCTTCAGTCTGAGAGGAGATGAGACCCCTGAGCAGAAAGCGTTGAGTTCTCCACTTCAATAAGAGTGAATCCTCATAACTGTGCAGCCTGATTTTCGTGGGCAGTGAACCTCCAACATCTCAGACCATTCAGCGTTGGTTCCACAACACTGGATGATCTCCGAAATCGCACTGAAAGAGCCGTGAGTGCAACGACACTCAACATGATCAATCGAGTATAGGATGAATTTGACTACGGCGTTGATGTTGTCCGTACAACCGGAGGTGGTTCATACTGAGCACTTGCATTTACATAATAAACTTTATGCTCAAATAAACCATTTACAGTTTACTGCATTGATCTGTAATGATTTACAAGTGAAATTAATCATTTTGAAATGGAATGAATCTTTTTGAAATCTGAAATTTGAAATTTTTGTACGATATGCTGTTGGACCCTGTGAAAGATGGACAAATAACTATCAACATAAAAACAAAACTTATCAGCTTTGGACTTGGCTTAAAAGGTGTCGATCTTCATGTCACTCAATGTGACAGACCATTATTTTTATTGCTGAACAAGTTAAGTGACAAGGGAAGCAAACCTCAAGCACACAAAAATGTGAATATTGTAGTTAAATTGTATGTTTTAAAATTAAATACATGTGTAGTTTTAAGAGACACTGGGTTTGATGTAAAAGTGGGCAAAATGGCAAAAATGTAATATCACTCCAAGACATCACAGTATGAATTTTTCTGACATCTCATAAGTTGAAACAGTTAAAATGGTTCCATATTTTAACACATTACTATCAAAAACTATGAACAGAATCATTTATATTCAAAATTTCACATACTGAGCTGCACTAAAATAAAATTAAACAGGACTAATTATGCTCTCTTTGTAATCAAACATTCAGATGAGAAGTACTGACAACATCCACGATATGTTCAGAGGCATACTGTGACTTAATTTATCATGATTACAATAACTGTCATATTGCTCAGCCCTAGTTTGATGTTACTGCAACTTTTATTTTGTAATATTTCAGAATATGCTTGTTTTTTTGTTTTTTTTTTAAAAAAACATTAAAAACAAACCGTTTTCATTTGCAACTAACAATGTTCATGCACTGTGTTAATGATGAATCTTTAATTGACATATTTAAGCTTGAAAAACACTTATTAGCAGATTTTTGTCTCATACATGGTATCATATGTTGTGGACTAGGACAGCTCTCTCTTCACGCAACGACTCTTAGAATACAATAAGGCTAATAAGAACGCCTCGCCGTATAGAAATGGCTGAAGCTGCAGTTTATGATACTTTAACTGCTGAAAATGTGTTTTCAACTGTGCATGTATTATGTTACACCATGCTAATAAACAGTAAATAAGCTCGTTTTACAGGTTTCCAAAACCGTCCCTTGGACGCCACAACAACTCGGGCATTTCTGCTAACGTTATTCTCTCTTTTAGTATCTCAGTCTCACACTGCAACTATGTTAGCAGGCTCCAACTCGTGGACGAGTCGTTCTTCTGAATCGGATCTTCTGAACCCGTTGAACCGACTCACCAAACGATTCATGGGACAAAACTGCTCTGGAGTGGTTCCCACAGTCAATGCTGCATGCCCTGCACATGTAAGCGGTTTCCCTACTCAAAGACTTGACCTTGTTAATTAATTAATGAGATACAAACTGTGCATAATGTGGGGTTGCCGGGACCAACTTTGACAACCCTTGATCTGGACCTAGATGTTTACATCCATGGTACAGGTTGAAGCTTTTAATGAAATTAAAACATTTTTAATTTTAAAACATAACCTCAACTTACAAGGAGGGCAATACGACAATATTTTATCATCAACAAATTATACCGTGATAAATAATACGCTCTTCTGAGCAAACTGTGGATATCGTCTGTACTTAAAGAACACTGACCAAAAGCATGTTACATTAAAAAGAGTATTATTAGTCTGTTTAGAGCTTTATGGCATTTTTTTAATGCATCACTATTAGTGTATTGTGTCTGTGTCAAAGTATCCTGACACGAATCATGTATCATGAAAATGTCTAAGTAATGTGATATGAAATTTTTGCCATATTGCCCATCATAACTGAAATGCTCACTTCTAGACAAACTTACAGAGTCAGAATTGCTCACAGTGGTGATGACAGGAACCAGATGTCCACCTCTAAAAGCTCCCTCGGAGAAAGATATTACTTTATGATAAAGTTTTGGCCTAAAACAAGTATTTATGGTGGAGGGCTAAGCAGGGTGTTGTGTGGCAAAATACTCCCCAAAGAAAACAAATATATTTTTATTTTACTATCATGAACATTCCACGTATAACTCAAGTGGAGGTTCACTGTATAATGGCTAGTGTGGCGTTGTAGTCATGGTGACCCCTGGTTCCTATCACCACCACTGTCCCCACAAACAACCATTTCACACCAAACCACTCTAAAGTACTCTGTTTACATCTCCACCACTGACTCATGCAAATAAAATTGGATAATCGGGGGAATTCTCCTTTAATGAATCGTTGTCTCGAACGTTCGATTCATTAAAACGGATTTGCTCCAAAGAATCGGTTCACACTCCCCAGCTTCTAGTCGGCTAAGCTAAGCTAAGCTAAGCTAACACGCTGACCAGCATGACGTAGATAGCCTGTTGGCTAACAGAACCGCCATACAAAACATCTTCATTTAGCACCAACACCACGGACTCAGCAGCACACTAAGCGCCCCGTTCCGGTGTAAAAGACCCCGAGCGGGACGTTTTTAACCCGGGTGAAGTCAGTAAATCGGGTTATTTTGCTTTATAAGCTCCGCTGCCGTCAGATTCTTCGCCAGCTTCTCGTTCCGATTTTTCCGTGCCACCTTACATGAAACAGTTAGCAACATCCTAGCGCCTCAGGCGCCAGAATGCATCTGCTGCACCATTTAAGGTGGAACGGGGAGATTCGAACAAGACTGGCGAATGGGAAGCCGACTGCGCTGCCGGCAGGCTGAGCTAAAACTAACGCTAACATAAACTCTGCCGTCGCTCTCAGACCCGCCGAGCACGGCGAAGAGGTTAGACTGCTGTCCCGCTTTAGGCGAAGCCCGTTTCGGGTTTACCTTTAAAGTAATTATTGGCCTTTTCCTTCAGTTTCTCCGCCTGAACACTCCGCTCCTCCTCAGCCATCTTCACGCTGCCGCAATCCGCGCCGCCGGTCATCACCCCAGCCTGCCGTCGCAAACGCCTCTTCCAGACAGAGAGGTTTCACGACTGCTCGTCTCGTTTTCGGGCGCGCCGCTCACTTCCTGGAGAGAAAGTGCTGGAAAAAATCTGAGGAGAGACGATAAAACCTGATAAACGCGGCTTGTGAGTTTCTGCCATTTGTACATAAGTAAACTCTATAATATAAAATTATATTGGCCAGCATTATCGATCATACCATTTCTCGGTCCTAGTATACAGCGTGTAAGAGCTTAAAGGGGAGTTCCACCGATTTTCCAAAATTCCTCCATAATTCAGTGTTTGAGGTACACAAACCATGTACTTGAGTTAAAGTAGAGACACCCTAGGTAAAGTTCCTCCATTTAAACCTCCACTGAGTAAAAGTACAAAAGTATTTGCCTTCAAATGTGCTTAAGTATCGAAAGTAAAAGTACTAAAAGATTAATTATGACTCTAATTTCCTATTATCATTTTTGTAACAAGACTCTTCATTAACTAATTTTAGGTGAAAATACTCCAGTGTCACTCTTGGTAAACCAATCTTTTAATAGATTCATTAATTAGTATTAGGTAGAACCGAGTGGCTCTGAAATAACTTTTTGCGACCAAGCAAAGTTTCAGTTTAAGATTTATTTGCAACTTAGTTACAAGTTTAAGTTTAATAAAAACTTGTTTTAATCACAGATTCACAAATGAGTTTTCCTTTACTAAACTGCATCTGTAGGTCTCTGTTCATAAACATAAACTAGCCAAAACAAATTTACTATAAAATGAAATAGTGTTTGTATAAATTCAGAAAAAAGAAACATGTCAGTCACAACTGCATATGTGTACATGTTTCTATATTGTGGTCTATTTACACAAAGTTAGGTTAGCTCCATCATTTATGTTGGAATATACACCCCCAAGATTTTACACTGCTGCACTGATGTTGAACCGTATGCTGCACTGGGTCGGTATGACCAACAGGCCAAAACAAGCTCAAAACAAAGTGTGCGCTGTGCCCTGATTTGTGTTCTTGCTTCACATTTCTTTTGTTTTGACATGTTATGTTTTTATACACACATAAACCAAAAGGAATGACAGATTTCGCAAAATGTAGTGGAGTAAAAAGTAAGACATTTGACTTTGAAATGTAGTGGAGTGAAAGGAAAAAGTCGCCCAAAATGGAAATACTACAGTAAAGTACAGATACACAAAGAAACTACTTAAGTACAGTAACGAATTACATTTACTTAGTTACTGTCCACCACTGGTAAACAGAATCATTCAGAGTGGTTTGGTGTGAAATGGTTAATTGTAGAGTCTCAGATTTCTTTACAGTGGTGATAGGAACCAGGGGTCGCCATGTCTACAACACAGATATAGGCATTTTATTTATTATCAAAAACCTTCTACACGTGTCTGCTGGAATGCTTATCATGGTAAAATAGTTTGCCCCATAACACCCTGCATGTATCCCTGACTATGAATGGATTGAAATACATTCTATTTTACAATCCAAAACCACCAATGAACCTACACTGATAATGGTAAAATAGTGCAAAGTGTGAAATAAATAATACATTTTTTCTGGGGCTATTTTGCCCCACAACACCATGCATGTATCCCTCTACCATGAATGGATTTTAAATATATGGTTAAGGCCAAAATCTAGCATTGTCTCAGACATCACACAGTGAATTCATAACCATTTCATGTAATAACTTTCTGTGAGGGAGCTTTTAGAGGTGGATATATAATGCATAATATGTCAGTAAAAGGGATAAAACAGTTGAGGATTGTTCAATAGGAATATAGGCCTCCGAGATTTGTAACCAGTGCTTCTACAATATGGTTTAATTACACAATTATTGATATACTGAGCAAAAAGTTTTATGACAAATGTTTTAACTTTTTTGTGCAAATTATCAAACAAATGTATGTGTTCTGTGCTTGTAATGCTTCAGTTTGGCCTGTAGAGGGCTGTATCTGCTCAATGCAAGGGAAGTTTTCACAGGCCTGTAGAGAGCTTCTTTCAGCTCCTGGATAATTCAGCTCGACCATCCTTAGCACATGTTGTGGAACCTGGAAAAGCACTGACCAATAGAATGGGACGCTGCATATGAGCCTAAGGTCACCATGCTCAATGCCAAGGTTGGGCTAGAGGGGTATAAAGCCCCCCAGCATTGGGCTGTGGAGCAGTGGAACTGTGTTCTCTGGAGTGATGGAGCTCCATCCAATACCTTTGGGATGAGTTGGAGTGATCCAGAACTGACCATCCAACATCAGTACCTGACCACACTAATGCTTAATCAAATCTTCACAGCAATGTTCAACATCTAGTGTAAAGCCTTCCCAGAAGAGTAGAGGCTGTTACTGCAGCAAAGGGGAACAAACTCACTATTAATGCCCTTCATTTCAGAAGAAGCACTGCCATCTACAAACTTTTGGCCATGTTTAGTGAAGCCTGTAGCATGATCATTTCTTGCAGTCTCTTTGGTCAGACCACAAACACATACTGCAGGCCACTTCAGATGCTTTCTCATCACATGACATGGGCTGAAAGCCTTCAAAATGAGGCCGTGTTATTTGTTTACATGTGCTATGCGGCTCTTCATGTGGTCTTATGTGGTCTGGATCTCGTTTGCGTGGCCTGTGGAGCTCCTCTCAGCATGTGGGCTCCTTGGAAGTAAGACAGAAGTATGGATCCAGGGCAGTTAGAGTAACGCAGGTGTCCGTAATGTTACTCACGCGCAGGCCTGCCATCTGACGCACACCCTGCCCTCACCTAATGTTTGGCGAAAACAACACGCAACCTTAAATTAGAACCATGCCAGCTCACAGAGCGGCTATGAGGGCATCTTTCCTGAGGGCTCTGAGTTTGTAACACGTCTAAAAAACAGCACGTCTCTGGAATTACTAACCTTCTTTCTAACTTTCCAAAGATCGAATCATAATGTCTGAATGAATTTAGCCCTTGAATCAGAGCTGGACAGTTGCAGTCAGACAGGGCAATAAATTAAAAGGGGAATTCAACCGATTTTTTAAAATTTATGCATAGTCAAATCACTGAAAAAGACACAGGCTCAAACCTGAGAATGTAAATGTAATTCATTATATAACTAACTGTGTAATTAACTATGCAAGTACATCATTATATCAAAATAGTAGCCTAGGTTAAAATGTCAGTAACATTTACTGAAGTAACTGGAGGTCTATTAAAAGGGGAATTCCACTCATTTTTCAAAATTTACATAATTCAATACATTATATAATGATATAACGATATGACTACAACAGAAATATAGCCATTTTACTTACTATCACTATCCAAACCCAGCAGTGAACCTACACGAAAGATGGTAAAATAGTGGAAAATCTCAAATAATAAGTTTCCTTTGGGGACTATTTTGCATCACAACACCCTGAATGGATTTTAAAAATATGTTTAAGGCCAAAATCTCAGACATCAGACAGTGAATTCATAACCATTTCATGTAGTAACTTTTTGTCAGGGAGCTCTTAAAGGTGCACGTCTGGTTCCTATCACCACCACTGTGAACACTTCTGACTCGGCAAGTTTATCTAAAATGGAGCATTTCACACCAAACCACTCTGAATGACTTTGTTTACATCTTAACCCTTTAATTATGCAGAAATTTTGAGACGTCGGTGGGATTCCCCTTTAAGAGACGGTTCAGTCATCCTGAAGTGGACTGGTATCATGACTCAAGAATTAAATGAGTTTGAGACAGTCATCTAAACAGAAGGGGTGCTGGTGTGTGTGTGAGTATGTGAGTGTGTGTGTGTAGGGGGTTCCGTCTGGTGGTCTGACTCACTCGGGACGTCCCGCGTTGGTGTAACAGAGTCCAGGCAGGAGTGAATCACAGGCCTCATCAAACAGCTTTAAGGAGTGAATGCTCAAACTTTCACTCGCCAGCCTTTGAGGAGTGAGTCTCTCTGCCCGATGACATCACAGTCCAGCTTTCACTGCCTGTACAGAGCAGAGAACAGTGGGACCTCAGCGCAGGTGAGAGACAGGAAGAGAGAAATTAATGGAAACAGTCCATCACGGGAAGGTGGAGATGGAGAGTTCATGTAAAGCGGCAGAGAGGAGAGCAGTAAGAGGGACAGACAGAGCCGGAATGATTACTGTTATTAACCTCAGTGTATCAACATCAGTATCCTCAATTATACACATTCAGTTAAATGAAGGACTTTTAAAAAGGATATATAGAACTGTGTTTATGGGTTGTACATGTTTGCTTAAAAAATGGTAATATTAGAATAAATATAAATAAACAAGCCATTGCGTATTACCATTAATGTTATAACAATACATTTTAATAACTTTATTGAAAACAACACACTCTACTGTATTGGTGTATATTTAAATGTATTATTTATTTTATACATATCAAATTAGAATGTCTAATTACAAGTTAAAATAAGTTAACATCCTCTGCACAAATATGTTTAAGGCCAAAATCTCAGACATCAGGCAATGAATTCATAACCATTTCATGTAGTAACTTTCTGTGAGGGAGCTTTTAGAGGTGGACGTCTGGTTCCTATCACCACCACTGTGAACAATTCTGACTCGGCAAGTTTCTCTAGAACAGAGTATTTCACACCAAACCACTCTGAATGACTAATAATGTAATGTACATAATGTAAAGGTTCTACACCTATGAAAGGCTTTTCCTAGAACCATATGCCAAATGCAAGAGCCATTTAGGAACCTTAGTTTTTAATGTCAGCTAATAAATGTAATTAAGGGGTGACACCACATAAGGGTGACACCACAACTACACTCTTAAAAACAGATGGTTCTTCAAGGGTTCTTTATTAAACACAAAGGTCCTATATAGCACTACAAATACAAGCTTGACATCAAAACAATACAAGAACCCTTAATGGTTCTGTATAGAACCACATACAACGCATTATCTATAAATCTGAAGAACCATTTAAACACACATTTAAACATGAAGTGTTTCTTTAAGTTTTCATGGTTTTATATGGAACCATTGTCTTTCCC